GGGCGAGACGGGCGGTGCTCGTAACTGGCTCATTGGGGAGTTAGTACAAGTGTTGCCATCTATGCGTAAAAACAATCAAACAAGTACTCACGGTGGGCATAGCACGTACGTACACGTCATACCCGGCACCAATGGGTTAATAGGCCTGTGTCCCGACGAATGATAGTAGGTAAGGATAAGGATAAGTCCGATATGCGAAGCTGTGGACCTCGCCCGGGCTATGGGGGAGCCCGGCCTGTGCCGACGTATGTCGACTCGCTATCAGTGTGTCAGCAGGTGCTGACTCGGGTGAGCTTAGTCCTTACCCACCGTGGTGCCCGGCCACAGCAGTAACCTCCAGGCGACAATTGCAACTTCTCGCGCCTGGGCGGGGCGCGAACCGCCGACCCCTCAGATGAGAGGCCGACACGTTACCACTGTACTAGCCCAGAGGCTTTGATAGTAGGTAAGGTAACCAAAGTAATTCTTACGCTTGGCAAAACTTTGGAGTCGGTGTGACCCCAATTATGTCCATTAACTAATTTAGGACTGATTTAGGATCCACTTAATTAATCACACCCCGCTCACACCTTTAAATGTCGCTGGCAAGTTTGGGTTAATCCCATCGGTTTGTGATTCATGATAAATCCCCGTGGGGCATTTCATGAGTGCCCATCATATATCCGCAGATAGAGTGGGTTATTTATAAATTTTCTCAGCTTGTTTAGCTTCATAAAAGTACAGCATTTTGGGTACACACACGTCGCGTCCCTAAGCCACGCCAGCATCGCGTGGGGACGCCATGACACGCCCACGCCTCGACGCTCCCTCGCCCCCCAAGCCAACGTCTTGGATATTTAAGGCCCGCGTTTGACCCGGTCACTAAGGGCTCTCAGGACCTCTAGGTCCCAAGGTTTTTGCGTGGCTTTCTTTGCTAAAGAGACTGTTTGACGCCCCCATGCAAAGACAACCTTGGTTCTTGTGTGCATAACTTTGGGTATTATCACACTTTCCTTGCTTAGAGGTTAGTGCTTTTGACTATAGGCCAGAGCAGTTATAATTAAAAAAACGAAGCACTGTGGCAATCTGCGGTTTTACTGCGAGGTGCCGGCCGAACTTATAAGGGTTAATTCCCGTTCGGCAGGGTTTTAACCCCGCCCGGCCCTAATACACAAAGACTGCAAATTGCCATAGTGTGTCTTCCCTTTTTTGAACCACATTTCCACCCTTCCATCATCTGGTTATTAGTTTCTGCTAGATCTCTCACCCTCACCCATCATCACCATTGCGTCATGCTATCATGGGTCACGTAATCAAATTAACATACTCTGGGGAGCCCACCTCCCGTGAGGTGGCTCTCCAGAAAATCTTCTCCATCACAGAAGTTGCAGTAACCCACTATTTTAAGGTTCATAATGGCTACAAGGTTGTTGCCAAGCCTGAACAAGTGACCCCCTTCCTCTCCTCGAACGGCCAACGGAAACTCGCTGAACAGGGCTTTAAACCCCTTTCTTCCCCTGAGACAAAGGCTAAATGCACGGTCGTGGCTAAAAAGATCGACAAGACAATCCTGCCACGATCGTGCGAGTCTATCCACGCGGAAGTCTCGGCCAAAAACGACGTCACTGTCGTTGTTTATAAACCCCCTGAGTCACGGATCGTTAACCCCTTGGTGCCGGGTATGACGTGTACGTACGTGCTATGCCCACAGTGAGTACTTGTTTGATTGTTTTTACGCATAGATGGCAACACTTGTACTAACTCCCCAATGAGCCAGTTAGGAGCACCGCCCGTCTCGACCGTTTACCCGTTTCTTTGATTTACAAAATATTTGCTGTTACTAATGTTAAAAAAAAAAAAAAAAAATTATATTGTTTATGATATAAATAACACCATCGATTTTCATAGCACTAGTGAAAAATACGTTTTTCCCGCCATTTAAATCAGGCGCTAGCAGAGTCATCTATCGGCAGACATTTTACGAAAAACATAGAAAGTGGGCACAATATTTTCCCCATTTTTTGTTCATTTTCCCCGGCACCATTGGGTTAAGATCCATTGCTCTGTGCCCGAGAAAGCCCAGAATATTCTAACTCATGGGATTGTGATGTTTAACACATCCATCCCAACTTATAACGTCGAACCTGAGAACTTCATTCTGGTTGACCAGTGCTTGAAATGCTACAGCGCTTGAAATGCAAGGGCAGCATGTCGCTGTCAGCGGGTCTTGCCCCAAACGAAAGGAAATTATAAAAACTAAAAGACAAGCATAAAAACAAAGCAACAACCCAACATACGCCTCAACACTCCGACCCTTACAAACATCTACACCCACCACAACTCGCTCCAACATGATTACCTCAGGAAACACAATGCCTCTCCCACCTAAATTCCCCCAAAACAACACTCCCGTACCTAACAACAACCCAAAAATACAAATAATACTACACGTAGCTTTAATAGCTGCCAAGTACAACGCCAAAAGATTCGCAGACATACTTCCCACATTACTACAAAAAAAACGGTTTCCCCAGCATTTTGATTCCTGAGGGAACCTTCGCAGACGAAAACCTATACATACCAGAGTATCACACACAAACAAACACAGACACCGAGGCTAGAGTGGCGCCCACCACATCACCACAGCCCTCTACCTCACGCGCACACATACTCCCACAACCACAACCGCAACGCAAACCAAGAGAAACTGCACAAGGAAAAACTACAAATAACACAAACGAACAAAAATGCAAACTTCCTTCACCACAAAACATGCACCAAAAGAAAGACAAAAAAGACCCTCTGCTCACGGAAACCCCGGAGCCCTCCACTCCTCATCGTCACCATGACGATACCATCATCGGGGATTCCAGCAGCGACGATAGCCTCCACATCGACCTCGGTCCTGAGGTCGTAGAGGGGGCTACTGCGCTGTCCGCTCCCCCTGGGGACTCGGGAGACATGGCATGGTCGGAAAATGGTCCGCCGATTCTCGAGAATGCCAAGTCTCCCTTTCCCAGAAGTCCCTCCCGGACCCCGAAGAGACCTAAGTCTGGGGCTCGTCCTCGGCCGCATTTTCGTGAGCAGCAAACGCCACGAAAAGTAGGTCACAGTCATCTTGACCTACCTTAAGTGGCATGCTGACAATCGTACAAGCGAATGTAAGG